GGGGGGGGGCACCGGGCCCTTCAGTTTCTGGCTGTGTCCGTCCCTCCCCCTCCCCATAGCGTTTATTACCCTCGCAGCCCCGGGCCTTTCTGAAGACGGGATCGAGACTTTCCTGGAAGTTGTTTATGGAGTTCCTGCCTTCACCCTCGGCTTCCCCCGTCCCTGGGAGGCTGGGCGGGCTNGGGGGGGGGGGGGGGGAGGAAAAGCAGTTTAGCTGCTTGCCTAAACACTTCAATTTGCAAGAAGTAGACTTTATGCCTTTTTCTTATACCCCTGGAAGTGGGTTTCTGAACTCATTATGGGTAAATGTGTGTTGGCATCGCACCCTGCAGACTACGGGGCTATGCTGCTTGTTAATATGTTTTGAAAGCATAATACACATAGATTAAATTCCCCATTTTGTGGCACCTATAAGCCAAAATGAATTGCAACTGAAAAGTATATTTATTCTTCTAGTAAGTAATTGCACAAGAATTTATATCCAGCAGTTTATTGATTATATTATTGTCTAGTATAGTTTAGTTTGTTTTTAATAAGTTTCTTGACTAAGTGTTGTGTATCTATAAGTTTGACTTTTATTTCTGCTAGTGATTTCCTAATTCAAGTATATTCTGTTTGAAAACTCAGAAATGTTATGTGACTTTAAGCCACAAATGCCTCTTCTGATTGCTTCCAGTCTCCCTTCCTTGCATATATGAATCTAGGAAATTCTAACTTTTTGATAACCCCTAATTCTAATAATGGAATTTAAATATGAGCAGTGTAAATATGGGTTGTAAATACTATTATCCACAAACTTGGATATAATTCACATATATGTGTATATCCATATTTTCTCATCATGTGATAAAAGCTATTTTATAAATGAGAAAACAGACTCACAGAGATTAGGATATTTACACTAGCCAGTTTGGACTGGAACCTAGATCTTTGGGGTCTGAATGCAGAATTTTTTCTGCTGTTACACAGTGGTAAATATGTAGGTGTGTAAGTTCTTAAGTTATATTGTAATTGAACTGTTGATATCTTTATCATCTAGATACAAATATATAGTTGGATTTTCATTTCATTCATTAGGTGGATTTTAAGAACATTTGGATACTTGTAAATCTTTTGCATTCATTAAAAGTTGTATAACTTGTGATGATTGTTTTATTGATGGCATATGTCCATGAGGAGAAAAAAAATGACAGTTGTCATGTGTTTAGGGCTTGGCTTATGAGAAGATATTAACTACTTAAAACCTGCATAGTTATTATATTCCTTGGGTTGTGTTTATACCTGGAACATATTAGAACCTGGAAAAGCACCCATACTGCATTGACCTTATAGAAATTAGGTTTAAAATTCAACATTTAGCCTGGCTGGGCGTGGCTTAGTGGTTGAGCATCGACCTGGGATCCAGGAGATCGGGGTTCGATTCCCGGTCAGGGCACATGCTCGGGTTGCAGGCTTGATCAATGACTCTCTCATCATTGATGTTTCTCTCTCTCTCTCCCTCTCCTTTCCTCTCTCTGAAACCAATAAAGATATATTTTAAAAAAATAAATAAATAAAATAAAAAATAAAAATTCAACATTTGTTATTTTAAGGATGTTTCATTCGTTCTGTACTATTTGCCTCTAAAATATGTAGAAGGCACATCAGATGTGTAGTAGGTAGAAAATTCACTTAGATGGACTGCTCATCAATAAAATTATAGATGTTTGTAAGAGAACATATTAAAATTACATAAAACATTTAAAACTATCCATCTGCAAACCTATATTCTCTGTGTCAGATATTAAATGTTGACATTTTCCTTTGGTAGTTAGATATTTGGTTGCAATGAAAGTCTATCTAGGAAATTTAAAGGGACTATTTAAAAACAATTTTTAAATTTTCACTTTAATGTTCCTATAGGCCAGTACTGATGCAGGCACTGCAGGAGCCCTGACTCCACAGCATGTTCGAGCTCATTCCTCTCCAGCTTCACTGCAGCTGGGAGCCGTGTCTCCTGGGGCACTGACCCCCACAGGAGTAGTCTCTGGCCCAGCAGCTGCACCCACTGCTCAACACCTTCGACAGTCTTCTTTTGAAATACCTGATGATGTACCTCTGCCAGCAGGCTGGGAGATGGCAAAGACATCTTCTGGTCAGAGATACTTCTTAAAGTAAGTGAAAATAATGGTGGGAGATAGTTTTCTAAGGAAAATGGATTTTGGAAAACAGAAAAATGGTATCAAGAATTAAAATGTCATTTATTTTTATATTTTACTTAACATCTGTCAAGTTCAGTTAATCTTCCATAGTTGTTTTTGTTTTTTTTCAGTGTGGTATGATCTTTTAACTTGTGTAAATTTTGAAAGCTTGATTGATTCTTGTGTTTCAGAGCCTTTTACTAATCTCTTGTGGCAATTTGGGTGTTCTCATTTTGAGTTTGTGCCAGACCTGTTAATTAGCCTAGCTCAAAACTGAAACAATACCATGAAAAATTTCAAATTGTGAGAATTAAGGGCTGGCATAGTCTTATGAAATATGTATAGTACTAATCTTTTTAAATAAACACTTTATTGGTAGAAAGAACTACAAAATAGTAGGACTTCTTTGGGAGTATAATTTTATAGTATTTTAGATTGTGAAATGACAACCCTTTAGCTGCAGTTTGATGTGATTTATCAGGGTTTTTCCCCCCAAAATGTAAAGGAAAACAATTTTCAGGTTTGGTATACAATTTCTTAGTGGCAAACTTACTAGCAGTTCTTCAAAATAGAGTCCCTCCTCTCTGGGAAACCAAAAAACAAGGCCATTGGGTCATTTATTTTTTTATTTATTGTAATCCTCACCCAAGGATATTTTTTCCATTGCTTTGCAGAGAGAGAGATAGAAACATTGATGTGAGAGAGACACATTCATTGGTTGCCTCCTGCACACTCCCCGATCGGGTCAGGGATTGAGCCTGAAACTGGCGTATGTGTGCCCTTGGCCGGAATCGAACCCGGGACCCTTCAGTCGTGGGCCGACACTCTAACCACTGAGAAAAACTGCCTAAGGCTGGTCATTTATTTTTATTAGACTTTTTGTTTTTAACAAAATGGTAAAATTTCATTAAAGCTGGAAAGATCAATATAAAATTTTATCCCCTCACTTTGAAATTATAGATAAGACCTTAATGTTTTTATCTGGCTTGTTTAAGTGTGTACAAAATGTTTTCGAGAAGTAATTATTACACACTGAAATTGTTGTTTTAAAAAAGTAGCTTACCTTGTACTATTTAATCAGGTTGAAATAAAGTGAAAAACAATCTGTGTTTTGATTGAGATCAGTCTTGACAATCTACTCCTAAGGCAAATGTAACATATATTTATTAGATCAGATAATACAATTAATGACATTGTTTTACTGTGTGAGTCTTAATACATATTTTATATTTATTGGCTCTCAGTGTTGGTTGTTAGTTTGTAATGTAAGATACAGTTTTGTGACAGGCTTATTTAGGAGATGAGTAGAGGGGGAAAAAGTTTGATTTTGAAAAGTTTCTGCAGTTTTTGCCCCCTTTCCTGCAACTTTTTTCTTCTTTTAATTCTTTTTCTGGTGTCCTGGTATCCATTTCAAAGGGTCAGGTTTCAACCAGAACAATAAAGAGCCTGAGACTGGAAAGTACACACAAGTCTGGCAAACTCATCTGCATGAGCAAGATCATTTCTTCTCAAGCAGACATCCAAAGTAAATGATTGAAAGAGCTGCTAGCTGTGAGGATGTGTCTTTAAGGGAAAAGGAGTGGAAACAAACCAGGTTGTTAGGCGGAAAAAGAAAGGCTGTACTTTTTTGAACCTCTCCCTGCTGGGTCACATGCTGACCTGGGGAGATTTTTAAACAGCTTAATAGCCTGCTTGCCTTCTGTCTTTGGTTGATTCTGTAGCTGAAAGTATAAGGTTAAAGAGAAACATTTATGCTCTCCTTAGTCTTTTGTATCTTGTAATAATTGCTTACTGGTGACATCTGCCTACGTTTTCATTTTGAGTGATCTTTTTGTTTTGAGCTGAAATAAATGTTCTGTAATTTATTTCTTAAAGCCTCCAGTGGTTCTTCCTTTGAGAAGAAGTGTTTCTCTTAAAGATGTTGATAAAGATGGATTAATGAAGAGTGTATACACATACACACCACATCAGTCTTGAACACCCTGCTCGAGTGAGCCTGTAGGGAGGGTAAACCAGGTCAAAGGACTATGAAAATTATGCCGTAAGAGTTATGGTTGCAGGAGTGGAGAGAAGCTTACCTGGAAAAGAAAAAAAAACTTAGAAAAAGAGAGATAAACATGATGGTTCTTCAAGATGTTTTAATTTCATTATTTGAAAGCTGCTAAGAGAATAAATCTTACAAGTTCTCATTAAAAAAATTTTGCAACTATGTATGCTAACGAGATGTTAACTAGACTATTGTGATGATTTTGCAATGTTTATAAATGCCAAATCATGTTGTACTTCTGAATAATGTATGTCAGTTACACCTCAGCTTTTCTAAAAAGTGGGGGGAAAATATTTTTGAGGGACTCTTGGAAGTAAAATTAGGCATATTATATGTGAAGAAACATTAGGATTTTTGACTCAGTGGAATAATTTTTTCATATCATACCTTCCAGAAATAGGTTTTCCCTGAGAGAGAGATCTCGGTCAGTAAAAGCAGGCAAAATCATGGATTAGTTGGTACCTGTCAAGAATTATAGAGAGAGCCCCAAAGAACTGGACATGGAAGATGGCTATTATTATTCTGTTATTCTAAAGATTGTCTGCTTTGTGAACATTATGCAATTTGGATAAAAGTTATAAGAAGGTCAGTTCACATGCAATTGTTAGCTACTTCAACAATGTTATTGGCTGGATGAGTTGCCATAAGCAGCTTCCTTTTGTGTACTGCACAGGTAAATGATTAATACCTGTCCTGACTATGAGTCAAAGATGATGATGAATGAAGCTCTTGGAGCCAAGTTCCTTCTGTCAAAGTTCATTTTTATTCGCGTTCTGATGTTTTAAAAGTCAGGCTCTCTTTATATTTTCCTCTTGTGTCTAAAAAGATTCTTCTTGCCTGCTAGATGTAGAATGAACTAAAACTAGTTGCGTATTTTACATTCATTTCCACAGTGAGAAACTATCTTACGAAACATTTTTTAGGTACTAGTTGGAACTCCTAAGTTACAAGTATGTAATTTATCAAGATTTATATTTGTCATGAAGATATCTGATCATAAAAGGCCCAGACTTGGAAGGTGATGTAATTTGATTGAAAACTTATAAATGTTGACTTTGGAAACAACTAATTGTTGCCTTGTGACCACAGATGAATGGCTTTTTGAAGTCAATTGTCCCATCTTTTGTTTCAAGGCAGCATAATTACCGAAGGAGGATCATAGACAGGCACTCATTGGTATTTTCAAAGCCCTTCCTAGGTCAGTGAGAAATCTGGAGAAGACTTGTACCTTAGCTTGGCAAGTGATAAAGTAGAATTATGGTGATATTAGCTGTGTTTATCAGTGACACATACTTAAGCTCTGGTATGATTGTGAAGGATGTTGAAAAAAGCTTAGTCTGTGTATTATGTATAATATTTGTTCTAGTGAATTTACTGTTTAAAACTAAGTTCTTCAAAGTTGTATATAGGGCTTTTATTTTTTAAAAACCCTTTCTCTTTATTACTCTGAAAATTATTGCCTTCTTCAGCCGTCTTACAGTTTTCCTACAGGAAATAGTTCTTCAAGTAGTTGGTCAACAACTTCCTATTTCTTTATAAGCTGCTGAATAACTTCCTGAATTAGTATTCTGTAATATCTCTGGTTATAAGGAGTGTTTTTCTCAGATATATTTTATTGAATCTGATACCTTGTAACTATTACCATGTACAAAGAACTTCTTGTATAATGTACCATATAGGACTTCATACTTTGATTTAAGAAATCTGATCCAGGGATTTTAGAAGTTTATAGATTTGCATTGTTTTAATAATGTTCTGATTTTTAAAAGAGCATTCTGTTTCATTTCTATTATTTATCACTTTCTGAGTACTGGCCAGTGTTTTCAACCTTGAAGACTCAAGGTTTCTTATGGCTGTGATTTTATTAAAAGTTATATTGAGTATATTGATTCACAGTTTAAAGGGGTGTTTTTTCCAGAGATTTTCAACATTGCACAGCATATAAATTAGCCACTTTTACAACATTAAGTGAACTTGCCTTGCAGATGTTATTGATCACTATAAATGGTTTGATTCTTTTTTGTTATGTTATTTCAAAAGTTAAAAAATGCTCCACTGCTTTAATTAAAACTACCTTGGAAATGTATCAATTAAAGATGAATTAAACTGTTTTCTTTTTATAATTTTAAAAAATTTATCTTTATTGTTGCAAGTATTACAAATGTCCCTTTTTTACCCCCATTGAACCCTTCCGCCCAGCATCTGCCCCCGCCCCCTCCAGGCCTTCTCCACACTATTGTCTGTGTCCGTAAGCTACGCATATATGCATAGAAGTTCCTTGATTAATTTCTCCCCCCACTCTTGTTATAATTTGATCAATGCTTCTCCCAAACTTTTGCCCACAGAAGACTATACACACATGTAATGTGTGATGTTACATAATAAAGTTTAGCTGTTTTGAAAAGCAACAGTTTCATAAAGAATAAGGTTGTTCTGGTGTTTTTTGGTTTCTTGCTATAGCAAGTGTAACTTGATATGATTTCCTTTTAAAAGGTGAAAGACTTGTAATATCGCCATTAAATGTTGAGTAAGCTGCAAAAAACCCCCGACAAAAAACCCCAGCAAAAACAAAGACCAAAAAAACAAACAAACACCAATTCAAATTGTAATCACAAAGTATTTCCCTATCTGAGGGGAGGGCCAGTCTCTGCCTGTTTGTCTTGCTATTGAGGTTGAGTGGGGAGAGAAGTTGAAAGTATGTCCTCAGCTCTGAGGAAAAATGCTTGCTTCTGCTCAGTGGGTGGGCATCCCGGGAAGAATGGCCGCAGTGCCACAATGATTTAAGCAGAAAAACTCTGGAGGGACTGTTGAATACAGTGGCAGAAGAAAAACAGTTGGAAGATAGTGGATGTGACAGGGTAAATAGAACATGGAGATTAATTTATTTCCTAGGGAAAATAATGAATATTTTTAGTGTGAACTAAGA